TTCCTGCAGAACTTTAAAAAGACACACTCATAAATACAATGTAAAAATGCTAATCTCCTAATATGGTTTAAGCATATTTACTAATTACAAGAGGGAGTAACACTAGAAACAGCGTAAGATATTTTTATGTTAAATTAATAAAAAAAAAGAATATGACCAGATGAGAGTGAGCAACAATTATCTAATGCAGTATTCCCAGATGGAGAAAAAGGATATTATGGCACATCCCTGGAATGCTACTGTGGTTTAGAAAAGAAAAAAAACACAACACACCACATCCTGTTACCACCAGAAGGAAATGAAACAGTTCTCAGGAGCAGATGCCATATTAATTCCTATATTCATCTGATAATATTCCACATGTAAGTGTGCAATGGTATTTTAACCACTCTGAGTCTCATTGCTGAGTCTGAACTGCTTAAGTACACTGACAGTAGGCAAGCAAGGAACTGCTTTAGTCCAAAGAGGAATTCTGTCCTGCCCTGCAGCAGAAGAAAGGCTTTTGTTACTATCAGGCCATTGTTTGCCCCCATAAGATGTTCTTTTGCATTAACCAATGATAATTCCATCTTTGACACTAGATCAAAGTGCACAGAGTAACGGGGTGAAACTCAGAGAGCTCTGAAACTTGTCTTGCTTCATGACAAGTTTGCTATCTGCTTATCGGGCTGGTGGCATCTTGCAGAAGGCTGGGCAAGGTCTCTCCTGTACATATTAAAAGCAGAGGCTAAACAGGGTGGACTTCAAGGGACAGTTGTACTTTCTGAGAATAAGAACAGAGAGAGAGATTGTCATTGAAAGACAGAAAGATTAGTGGTTTTCAAATATTTTTCTTGGATAAGGAAGGAATAAATTTCTGTCCTACTACAAGACTGATCTTCAGAGCAATAACATGATGTTCTCCTTACTTATAAAACAGCTTTGCTTCCACAGAGATTATGTTTTACCATACAGAAGAAGAAGGTAATTCTTCATTAAAGATAGGGAATTAAACACATGCTTGTTCAGCTAATAACCTGGTGAATGTAGAGGAAAGAATGACATTTCTATGTCATTGTCTGTAATATCTCACTGGTTACAGCCTGATGACTCCTCTAGAAAGACTAATGTTAAGTTATTGAGCCAAGCCACAGCATGCAATATAATTTAAAGACCATCCAATCTAATTACAGTTAGTGAAGCATCACTAGGAACCAGTCTGCCATTTGGTACGACTTGTATCTTGTCATTGCCACTTCTGTCTTTATCAGAAGCAATTAATCTCATATTCTTGACACTTTGCTGTAAAACTCCTTCCAAAATGTCACCCTTCCTATGAGCATTACTAGCAATGAGCCAGCATCCTCTGACAGGCCATGAAACACTGCACATTGCTCATTTGTTGAGAAAGTGCTTATATGAGGTTCATGCTATAGACTGACATTATAAAGAACTGCAGCTTTGACTCCCTCCCACACTTCCCCTTCTCAATTTCTGGCACTTAATCACAGGGGCAGAAAATTGCCATGAAATCAGAAGAGCAGGGCTTTTTCCTTCCTACTTGACCATAGTATAAATAGTTGTACATGCTAAAGTGGTGGAGATGCAGGCCCTGCCCAGATCAGAGTGAGTCAAAGTCACTAAATGCTTCCCGTGGAGAGGGAGTGCTGCTTACCATGAGTAACACCAGCCAGCTGGTGGAACAGTGGCCTGGCTGACAAGAAGCATCCCATGATCAAAGGAGAAAAGGAAATACATAACACAATGCACAGCTGACTTCTCATTGTACATCTGTGACTGCATTTCAGTCTGGGACAGCCACACATTGCACTTGTACTTATTTATACTCTCTGGACATCTGACTATATTTTCCCTTGTCCTGTATGGGAAACACTTACTTGCTCTACAGGATTAGAATATCTTTGGTAACTGACAATTGCTAGGAATACTCACGCGTAGAAACCTTTGGTTTTGTCATTACTCTACATATTCAATTTCTGGCTCATATGTGGACTAAGCCAGGGAGCAAATAGCAAATTAACATATTCTGTGTATATCAGATTGAATTAGTCATGAGGCGAAATTTTCTTCTTATATACTACATGTGGGTTTGGAACAGAGTGTAAGTCATAATTAAACACAAAGCTGAAGAACAGGCCCTTTTCCAGTATGGAGACTGGGACCAAAACCACAGTGTCCAGCAGGCCAGGTCCAGCAGTACTCAAGAACGTAGGTTGCTCAGTCTAACTGTCCCTACCCTATGATTTTCTCCTTCAGAATTCAGAAAGATTTCAAAAAAAATCAGAGTTTTAGTTTGAGACATTTGCAATATAATAAAAATATGTCCACGTGCATTAAATCTGTTTCTTATAC